CACTGCTGACATTATCGTTAAAATATGTCCTTAACTATTAACATAGCCATTTATATTAAAAAAAAAGCGTGACATAAAGCAGTGTTATGTAGGTCTGCGTGAAGTCCTTTACAGGTACCAGCAAAAGACCTGCTACACGTAAAGCACTGTTAAACTCATAACAAAAACAGAATGCTCACTCTTATTTTCATCAACCGAGCAAAGAGTAAATGAGAACAGCAAAGCAGTAGGAAAAAGAGTCTAGACTGTACAAGCCTCTAGTGTAGTAACAGTAGGGATCCTACAAGCGAAAATACAAGGGATGAGGCAAATCATTCAACCAGTAGGAAATCACATAGCTAAGTGTGCCAATTATAGAGGAAAATTGCGGTATGGTAGTTAATTATATAAAAAAGTAAGAAACCTAGTATTAATGCTGCAAGCTGCAACTTTACGCTAAAATGAAATGGCACCGTCAGGCATTAAGCATGCATTTGTTTTGCTTTTGTTAATGAGAAACACAATAGTTCCCTCAAAACTTGTTTATGAGGCTGTGCTGGATAGATGGATATTCTGTGTGAAATCTTCACCTCCCACATGTCCGTGTACTTTTTTCCCCCCTACAGCCGACGATTACTTCAGTACCGAACAACTACTCCCTCAGACTCCGTCACCATGTCGAAACGGGGGATCAGGTGGAGGAACGAACGGAGCACCCTGCCTGCCCCCATACATAATGTCCTACTCATAGAAAACAGCGTGCAAGGAAGGGAAGGGGGGAAATCTGCCATGCAGAACGGGGAGACAAGAATGTACCACCTCTGTCCCTCCGTGTCTACCTCACGCTTGCCATAGGCAGAGTTGCTATTAGACTTGCTCCTGTCAGTCCAAGAAATCAGCTGCGAGAGAGAAGGCTGGATATGTGAAATGGCAGCGTTCTGGTAGGCTGCACAGAGATAAAATGCTGCTGAAATGCAGCTGCTGTTCCTTAGAAGATCAGACTCCCCCAGCAAGGTGCATCACAGATTTATCAAATGGAAAATATAGGACAGAACTAGATCTTTATTCCCACTTCCTGAAGAGATGAAGGTGGAGAGGAAAAAACCCACAAAAACAATATAGACTTACTACACGCCGTTACTCAAAAAAATCTCATTCACTCTATCTCTATGTTTCCAAAGGGGGAAAAGTAAAAAGTAGGACAAAGTACTGACAAGAATCTATTAAAAACAGTATTATGTGGCTTCCTCCTCTTCCACAGATGCCAGAATCATGAGGGATTTCCTTACACAGCAATAGAAAATGAAGACTTACTGTTAAAAGAATTTTTTTTCTTTACTTTAGAAACTTTTAATTTTCTGTTAAACAGCACTTTTTTTCTCCAAATGAGACCTACCAGCTGCAAATATTTAATGATATTTCAACCACATTAGAGAGAAAAAGGAAAGTACTGACAAAGAAATATTCATATTTGAAGACTAGGAATAGGTAGAGAATTGCTCATTTTCTCTCTTCCTTTTTTGGAAACCAGAGCTTAAAATGAGAACAAGAAACATGAAAAATGAATGCTTTAGATGGAAAAGTAGACCATGGTAAGAAAGGAAAAATATATCTTAATTCACTTCAATTTTAATAAGGTAGTCAGGTGTGAGACAATCCTCCTATTCCAAAATATAGCATTATGGAATCTCAATCCCTAATAAAATAAACATCCACCACATCTTATTCCTAGGCTTCCTAGTACACAAAACATCATAGAGACATTATCTTGTCCAACCATTGATAAAATCATAGAAAAGTTAAGTATAATTACAGTGAGCCATTTTTACTAATGCATTATTTTTTCCAGACTTCTGCTAAATATTTTAAAAATAAATACAAAATAAAATCAGCCTGTATGCTGTGCAGTTGGAATAGCTCAAGCTACTTCCAGATTCTTATCAGAAGCTGGCTGTTAATAGGTTAACAGTGTTACTGACCTTGAGGGATCTAAGAATTGAATTTCCAGAGGATAAAGAAAACCATTTTGAGATGATTCCTAAAGTATATGATTGGACTAAAATCTCACACAGGAACCACAGAGGAGAAACCAGTCAAAAGATGATTTATAACACAAACTCCAAAATGGAAAATGACAAAGTGCCTTTCCTAGGAAAGCTCCTTGGGATGAAAGACTACCAAGATTGCCTCACAATGAAATAGAATCAAAACTTTGCATCAATATAAATTATACTGCATGCAGCTGCACATGCACACACCCACACCCACACACATACAGACACTCACACACACGGGTGTATATGTATATGATGCCTTACATTTAGAGCATACAGTCTTTCACAGTGGCAAAACTCATCATGGCCATTTTAGACACTGGTGTCAGCAAGCCTCTTTTGTTGGAGGGTACCGTGTTCTGAGGTGGAAAGGGCAAAAAATGGCATCGCCAACTCCACTTCGAAACCTGCAGCATAAAAACTGCTGAAAAGCCTGCGAAATGACCTGCCATCCTGGAGCTACTGCAATGGAGGCACGTGCTCTGCCTTGCTGCTGCGGCTGCAGAGACGGGGAAGAGGCAAGGTGGGTGCAGGGGCACCTGAACCCCCCATGCCCCGTTTGCCAGCCAGAGTCCCTGCATGACACAGATTAGGGCAGAGGCACTGCAGTAATTCGGGGCCTGTGCACAGGATCACATTCAAATTATGAACTCACCAGCTAAGTCACAACAACTGGTGCTTAGTCCATCCCAAATGAAGAAAAGAGTATGAGCTGAAATCGCAGTGAAGGAGAACTAAGCAACTGTATTTTATCTCACGACTGATGCAGGCTGAGAATGAGCTGCAGAAATGAAGCTGTAATCAGCTCAGTCATGCTGCATCAGATGCCCACAGCTTCTAATTACTGACTTGTGTTTTTAAGTTAGACTTACAGTTTTTTCATGACTTTAAGTTCTTGGATCAATGGCTTATGCAACTGAAAAAACCTATAAATATAAGTATTTTGGGCCTGTGGCTTATGAAAGAATACTGATGCTTAAGCCCAGCTGTATCACACACAACTCCCCCAGCTGGCCCTCCCTCAACAGATCCATCATTCTGAGGCAGAATGTATATATTTACTTCCTTCCTTAGAGATGTTTATCTAAATATTCATCAAAATTACCAATCTCAGGGTACTACCTTGAGATAGAGGGTCCAGTTATTCAATTCCTTCACTACCATTACCCATCTGAAAAACAGTAGCAATAACATTTTGAAAGTCAAAGCAATACAATGTACGCATATGCATATGCAAGTGTGCATTGACCTATGGGTAAAGTCCTTCACTGCAAGATAGGAGGCAAAGAAAAAGGATTTAAACACTTTTTGTA